TCACCACCGATTCTGTTTTTATTTTTTTCTTATTTCATTATATTATCTTTTGTTTATTCAAATATTTAATAAATTTATTTGTTGAAAAGGGTGATTTATTTGGCCTCTCGAAGGCCCCTATATCTATATTTTTTGTTTTTGGGTTTCTGTCGAGTGAAACTTTGTTTAGATGCGGGTAAAGATGGTGATGGAATCTAGATCGGGTCGAGTCGGGTATGCCCGGATTAAATTTGTTTATATTGCTCCAGTTTTTTGTTTGGTTTATATTGCTTTTGGTTCGATTTATATTGTTTTTGGTTTGGTTTAAATCGATTCAAATTCCCAAGACACCCAAATATTAATGTTTTTCTGAGCGAACTGAGTAACTAACAATAATTACTTATAATTAATTAACAACGATAATTAAAGTTTGCTGACCCAAATATTATTAAAGAAATTTGTAAGTACCAAAATATTAATGTTTGCTGACCCAAATATTAATGTTTTTACCCACATTATTTAACAGCGATAATTAATTACTGGTAATAATTAATTATTGATAATAATTACTTATAATTAATTACTGATAATAATGATACTTATTAATTCGGACTGAATAATAGTATTATTATCATTAATAATAATTCATAAATATATAAGTAGTATTAATTGTTCATATTATTATTATCATTAATAATAATGAATAATAGTATTATTATCCATTAATTTTTTTTTATTTAGTGAAAGTTAAATTAAATAAATTTCAATTATTCAACATTGTTAACTCAATTAATTATAAAAGCAATTATTACTTCATTAATTAACTCAAAAAAAATTAATTATAACAAATTTATTATACACAAATTAAGTACTTACATAATAAGAATATATTATTACTTAATAATAATAATAATAATAATAATAATAATAGTAATAATAAAAGCAACTATTACTGTTTAGTGTAATGACACACGGTACCCCTACTGTTTAGCTATTGTCTTGGGGTACCCTTAAGTGTTTTGACAATTGACTAGCTCTACCCCTGCCGTTAATATCCGTTAATGTTCCGTCGAAATTCATACACACGTGACACCAGGTGATGTATAAATTTTTATCAAAACCTAATTTTTCCCTTCGTCCTTCTCCCTTTTTCACCATCCCTCTCCTCGGCGGCAACTACAATGAACCACTCTACAACCATTCCACTCCCTGTTTCCCCGCCACCATTGCCACCACTGCTGTCGTCTGTATTCGACCACTTTCGCCAGTGATTTCTTCTTCAAAATTTCAAAATAGAACAGAGCAAAGGGAAAGAGATGCTGGTGGTGAAGACAATGTAGTGAAGCTTCACTCTGTGGTGAAGACAATGTAGAGAAGCAAAAGAAGAGCAAGAACAGAGGAGCCATGGAAATGGAGGTAAAAATGTTCTTTTCCACCATTGTTGAGCTCAGCTAGAAGCTCATCTGAACTGAACTTCCCTTGAGTCCAAAAGGATCTGAACTCCACTAAATTCAATGGTTTTGAGCGACTGCTAGCAACACCGCCAACACCTTCATAGAGATCGTTTGGATTTTCCAGTGATAAAAAAAAATTATAAAAATATCAAATCGAAGCTAGTGGACGGTGGAGTAAGAACACTGTCTCCCATGACAGGGTTGTTGCTGTTGGTTTCCACCGATTGTCTCTTCGATGACTAATGCAACGTAGACTTGAAGAGAGCAAAGCAGAACCCATGCAACATATAAACGGGGTCTGGTGACTGACTCGCTCAGTGAGGGGAATTGGCCGGTGAGGCCATGCAGAAGGGCAGATATAGAAACAACAGAAATAAGAAGTTGAACAAGAAGAGGATTGATGGCATACAGGAAGAGAGAGGAGAGGGTGGAAGTGGGAGAAGAGATGAAGCTGGGGATATGTCGTTCAGTGGAGAGCCTGGCTAGTAGGAGGAATGAGAGAGGAAGAAGGAGGCTTAAGATGGTGAGGGTGAAGATGTAGAAGGGTTCTGCCAAGATTGATAATGCGTCGAAGTTGAAGAGCTTCTCGCTGTCCATAGAGAGCATACTCAGGAGCCAGATAGCCATGTGTACCAGTAACTCTGGTGGTGAGATGAGACTCCCCTTCTCTGCTCTGCTTGGCCAGAAACAAAGTCTGCCACCCTTGCTCTCATATCTGCATCCAACAATATGTCGGTGGCCTTGACGTCTCTATGATATATTGCAGGCTTCACCCCATAGTGCAGGTAGGCAACCCCCTTGGCCACATCCAAGGTTATGCTCTTTCTTTGAGGCCAACTGAGAGATTGCCGACTACTATTGCTATGATCATTGAATGGGTAGAAGTGGTGATCATCAAGGTTCCCATTGGGCATGAATTCATATACAAGATACCTCTGTTTTCCTCTCTCTTCATCAGTCTTATCAGCCACACAGCAGCCTCTAAGGGGGACCAGATTCCGGTGCTTCAAATTGCTAATGATCTCAACTTCATTGCAGAACTCTGCATCCCCTTGAAAATCTGATTCTATGATCTTCTTCACAGCGACAGGAGTTCCATTTAATAAGGTCCCCCTTGTAAACAATACCGAACCCACTACGTCCAATCAAATTCTTCTGTGATAAATTATCTGTAGCCTTCTCAAGCTCCCCAATCTTGAACCAAATTGACACAGTGTTGGGTTGCAGCCGGCGCTTGGAGCTGGTCTCCTCCAAATTAGTCGCGTTCCTCCTCCACCGCTTCAACCAGAGATAAGGAAAGCAGCAGTTCTAGCACCAGTCAAGGCAAAAACAAGAGCTGAGTGCTTCTTGCTATCTGTAGATATGGCTAGTGGCAGCCCAAATATATAGGCAACTCGCATGCTCTTAGGTCCATACTCATTCACAAAGGCAACAACATAGAGAACTGTGAAATAGAAGCAATCAACGGAATGGGTTTTATTGCCATCGATGGAAACTAGTCTGGCATGAACCTTGAACTAAGCAGCGACACAGGCATCATAGGCGGTGCCGATGCTGAGATCGGATTGGCATGCCGTGTCGAGTGCAGTGGAGGGCCCAAGCTTGTCGAGCCAGTCTTGCTTAGTATTAATACCGGCACAGAGTTGGTGGCTTGCAACGAACTGGCTCGGGCTGAAGCAGACTGAGGCGAGACCAGAAGGGAGAGACAAAGGCGAGATCAAAAGGGAGAGACAGAGAATCCAGCTTGGACTGGGGATGTCGGGGAGAGGTAGAGGAAGTGGGGATGTCGGGGAGTTGGAAGAGGGAGGTCTCCTTGAGGCGTACAACCAGAGCGATGCCGAAGCGGCTGAGCAGAGTCTGGCAGCAGTTGGTGTTGTTCCTAGGGAAGCTCGAGCACGATGAGGAGTCCCATGGGACTCTTTCCACATAGCCCATGTCCATGGGGCATGTAGAGGTGTTGCTGGCGGCTGACACTGCACTGTAATTAGCAACAGAGCACAGAAACACCATTGTTAGAAGCAATAGTTCAAACCCCATCTCTCTCTCTCTGTAATTTTCTGTGGACACCGTTGTTGTTGTTGTTGTCATTGTCGTTGCCGTTTCCGCTGCTGCTACCGGTATCGGCACCGGCACCGGTCTCGGTGGAAATGAAACAGACCTGCTCGATTGAAGAGGAAGAAGAGGGCAAATTTGACATTTCGTTTCTTTCCGTTAGAAATTTAACGGCAATGAAAATTGTGAGAAAGCTTAAGGGTACACAAGAAAATAGCTAAACAGTAGGATACCACGTGTCATTACGCTAAACATTAGGGGTAGTTTAAGAGATTTACCCTTATTATTATTTATTTATTTATTATTATTAGTACTGATTTTATAATTATTAATATATTAATAGTACTGATTATTATCAGTAATTATAATTAATAATATTATTATTTTCCATTAATTATTTGATGTAATAATAGTTAATTTATTAAACTTTTAATCATTTGACATTGTTAACTTAATTAATTTATAAAAGCAATTATTATTTCATTATTTAACAAAAAACAATAATTATAATAAATTATTACTTAATATACACATATTAAGTACTTACAATAAATTTATTACTTAATAATTATTACTTCACTAATTAAATAAAATGTTTAATTACAAAAAATTAATTACTTAGTAATAATAATAATTATCTGATTTTATAATCATTATAATATTAATAGTATTTTAATAATACTGATTATTATTAAAAAATTGTAAGTAGCAAATTTTAGTTACTCAAAATTAATTGCCAAAAATACTGGTATCAGTAATAATAATAATATTATTATTAATAGATTTGTAATTATAATGATATTTACTTATAAATAAAAAAAATTGATAAAAAATAGGTAAAGATCATTAATTTCTTTTAATAATAATAACAACAACAACAACAACAATAATGATAGTAATAATATAATTTTGCTACTTATAATATAATGATAATAATTACTTATAATTAATTAATAATAATAATTAAATAACATTCATTAATAACGATTTTAATAATTATAATTATTATTTTGGGTATATTCATTTAATATTTATACTTGTTCATAATAATTATTACATAAATATATAAGTAATGTTAATTATTAATATTATTATTATCAGTAATTATAATTTATAATATTATTATTTTCCATTAATTATTTGATGTAGTGATTGTTAATTTATTAAACTTTTAATCATTCGGCATTGTTAACTTAATTAATTATAAATTCAATTATTGTTTCTTTATTTAACAAAATAATAATAATTATAATAAATTTATTACTTATAAATATTGACACTAAATGTCTATTATAAATAATTAAAAATTTTGAAATAATTCAGATTAAATCAAATAATTACTTGCTGAAAATTATTGAATTAAATAAATAATAATAACATTCAGTTATTTATAGAATAATTAATAATGATAAAAATCATCAAGTGTTAGCCGGTCCTCTTACAACTCGTCATAACTACCCATCATATTAACATATACCCAGCTTCACAATATAAAAAACCGTTGACTCGTGTTGCTTGAATCGACGACTTAATAAATTCAAGCACTATCACCTCATCTTCAACGAAACCCGTTAATGGCGATCTCTCTCCCTCACTCTGGTTCTGTACCTGAGATCAGTCAAAGACGGTTCAATTTTTCTTCTTCAACATATCTCACAAGTCGAAAAAACCGTAGACCAGGCAAAACCCCAATTTTCAACTCTCTTTATTTCTCTAAAATCTCCACCGATCTCATCGACCAACAATGAATTCAACCTTCCAGGCCGCGCTTGCCGCCACTGCGAGCTTCTTCCTGGTAACCCTTTTCTTCGCCATAGTCATTGCAATCTGCAAAGCAACCAAGAGATCAGACCCTCGAACCCGAGATCGGGCCGTACCAAATGTCAATCAACCTCTGTCCTCTATCGCCATCGACGAGAGCGCATCGTTCGATCCTTACCTGAGTCGAATTTCCATGAATGAACTCGTCATCGCCACTCGAAATTTCGCCAGCGATGGTATTATCGGGGACGGAAGCTTCGGGCTCGTCTACAAGGCTCGCCTATCAGACAACGTCACCGTCGCCGTTAAGAAGCTCTCCAAGGACGCCTTTCAGGGGTTTCGCGAGTTCCGGGCGGAGATGGAAACTCTGGGTAAGATTCGCCACCCAAACCTCGTCAAAATCCTCGGATACTGCGTTGCCGGCGATGATCGGATATTAATCTACGAGTTCATCGAGAAGGGTTGTCTCGACCAGTGGCTACACGATACATCGTCATCACAAGAAGCGGGGCCATGGTCTTCGTCCGTGGTACGCGCGCCTCTGTCTTGGGAGACCAGGATTAAGATCATCAGAGGAGTGGCGAATGGTCTCCATTTCCTGCATACCTTGGACACCCCAATCATTCACAGAGACATTAAAGCGAGCAATGTGTTGTTGGACTCTGAATTCGAGGCCCACATTGCAGACTTTGGGCTTGCAAGGAAGATTGAGGCATTGAATTCCCATGTGTCGACGCAGGTGGCCGGAACGATGGGGTATATGCCGCCGGAGTACAAGGACGGGGTCACGGTGGCCACAGTGAAGGCCGATGTCTACAGCTTTGGCATATTAATGGTGGAGATCGCCACCGGGAAGCGCCCCAGTTGGCCGATCAAGATTGAGGACGAGCACAACGAGCGAAAGGAGTATGGACTAATTGAGTGGGCTAGGAAAAGGGTGGCAGAGGAGCGGCACCTGGAGATTCTCGACCCGTTGATGTCCAAGGAAGGGTTGAGGGAATCGGAAGTCGGGGAGTTCTTCAGAATTGCGTGTTTGTGCACTAGTGAGAGGTCTCGGGATAGGTCTTCCATGGAAGAAGTTGTTGAATTGTTGAAGCAATTAACGTCGTAGCTTGCACAGGTCTTACAGATCTCTGCTACTCGATTGGCTCAACAATTTTCGCCTGCAATTGTATCCCCGCCTCCGATGTAAATTCTTGAAGCGTAAATTTGAGTTATACTGTTCTTAATTTTGATTTTTTCTCCCACTTGTTATACTGTTCTAATTGTACAAAGTATACTAAACTTATGTAAACTTATGGGTAGAATGTAGTGTTTCTAACCACCATTGACCTAGATTGATCAGATCTTTCCACCAAGAACTGTTCAGTCAATTGATTCCGTTTCACCCTTAATAAACCGATGGCCAAAATAGTTTCAGTTCTGAGTCAGTTTTTAAAACCATGGCTGACAGAACAATACAATCCCCAAAGAATGGAATTCATACCCTTTGCCAAATAGCGCAAATCTACCCTTATAGAGCCTATTTAGTTTTAATCATGGTTTTCGAATTGTCATTGACCCGGACGGTCAGACCGTTAAGCCTAGGAACCGTCCAGGCAATCGGTTTCGTTTTACCCCAAACTTGGTCCCTGGCCAAAAACCGTTGAATCGGTCAACGACCTATTGACTCGGGCATTCGAACCATCGACCTATTCAACCCATTTAACAGTTTTTGGCCATTTTTTAATTTTAATTATTTTTTTTATTTTTTAATTTATTTTGTCCGAACGGGTTGTCCATTTGGACCAAATGATCGAACTGTTGACCCAAAAACTGGTGATCAGAATGATTCCGATTCTGAGTTGGTTTTAACGACAAAATCGCTTTGGCCTATGGTTTTGGGTCACAAAGTCAGCCTCTGATGTTTTAAGAGGGTAAATTACAAATTACTACCTTGTACTTTAGGGGTAGTAGCGATTATTCTCATGAACTTTTATTTGCAATAAAGACCCCTGAACTTTTAGATTCAATAGACTCTCTTTTCTTTAATTTGCATGACAGAAGAAGTTAATTACCAAATATAAAATAGAAATTGCAACAAAAAAACTAAGAAACCTCTATGAAAACCTAGAATCTCAACACAATATGCAATTAATATCAATCAAATTGGTAACAAATGGAAATCGAAAAGCACTAAAAAAACATTGAGAAAGGGTAATTTAGGGATTTAGAAAATTTTAAATAGTTACATGAGAATTTTTTCAAAGTTAATTGATGAACAACTGAGGGGTGGCTTAGTTGGAATGTTAACAGGGCTTTTCCTAGAGAACTAAATACCAAAAAAAAAGTTAATAGGTGGAATAGTAAGTCTTTGTTGGAATTCAAAAGTTTAGGGGGTCTTTGTTGCAAATGAAAGTTCAGGGGCTAATTGATACAATCCCCATAATTCAGGATATTAATATGTAATTTACCCTTTTAAAATAAAAAAAAAAACTAAAAATGACCCTAAAAACTGCTTTCTAAGTTAAACAGTTTAACGGTTCAATCGTATAGATCAGTGGTTTATTGACCAATCGATTCAACAGTTTTTTGGAAAAATCTTGCTCAAATAAAAGCAAAACGGGATAAGTATCTGATATCCAGGTCTCATTCATAACAATTGGACGTTGAAATGCCTTGCCATGAAAATGCCCTACAGGGATTATTGCCTTTCTTTGAGTGTTCATTTTATTTTTGAAAACGATAAATTTTTTAAACTATCCTTATGATTTAGTTAACCGACAAACTCTACCTTTATTGTTTACATATTATCTTAAAGAAAGGTTGTCATCTAGAAACCAGATAAAAGCTGGTAGCTTTTTTAAATTCCTAAAATGCCCATTTAAGAAATAGTGAAACCAGATAAAAAGAAAGGTCGTCATCTAGAAAGAATAGTTTCCAAAGAAATTGAAAATTCCACTGAAGTCTTTTTGGCAACTATTCCTTAGAAACCCGAGATGAGCCAAGCGGATGCTGTGGAAGATGTCATTCGCAACTTGCTAACAGACGTTTGAAGTGGTGGTCGAGGAAGAGTAATTTCGAGGGATTTACAGAAGCCATGGTTCTTATGTCACAGACACAGAAGCAGTAGACACACTCATAGGCGAGACTAACCACCACGCACAGTAGCATGCGCAGCAGCATGTGTTGCCCGATAGTAGCACGCACGGTAGCGCGCACAGCAGCCGTGCAGCAGCACGCACCGCCGGTAGCGCGCAACACGCACCGCCCGACAGCGCGCAGCACGCACCGCCGCACCGCACGGCAGCAACACTAGCACGCACCGCCTGGCAGCGCGTAGCACGCATCGCCGCGCCGCACGACAGCAACACTAGGCAGCAGCACGCACTGCACGACAGCAGCACGCACCACACGACAATAGCACTGTGAGACGCGCGCACTGCCCGGCAACAGCAGTAGGGGGGCCACACGACAGCTCATCAGGGGCCCACTTACCTTGCCACTCTAACCAACTCGCCGCCAGCTGTATTATCCCTCATCCCTTATCCTTACCTTATCTTATCTTCTTAGTAAGAGTTCGGTTTGCCACTAGAAGTAGGAGTTGTATTACCATTAGGAGTAGGTAATTAGGAGTTTGAGTTTAAGTTGGATTACCCTAGCTTAGCCGAATCCAACAAGGAGTTTCCTTCTGTAATCTCCTATTTAAGGAGCTACGAATTGAAATAAAGCATTCAGTTTTCCAGTCAAGAAAAGAGTAAGGAGAGTTCGGGTGGTTTCTTGGACAAATCACCCATTAGGAGAGTTTGGGTGGTCTCTTGGACAAATCACCCATTCGGTTTTCCACAATAGGCTCTGCATGCAAGGGAAGGCGCAAGGGAAAGCAGGACTTTCTCCCCGTGGACCGACCCATGACGAGATTCTATGCTCGGGTCCATAACATCTTAGGAGGACATGTATTCTCTGAAGTCCCTAATGGTTCTCTCACCTATATGTTACGGCTCAATATTAGGCATGGCTTTGCTGGGATCAAACTAAAATTATAGAACAGAACCAGGTTAAAAGCCACAAGGATCTAGCGGCAAAACAACAAAGATGTGCCATGAGAAGTATGCGACATAGAAAGCTTCAATCTCACTGGTTTGAACATGTTGATGATGGCGGCGTCATGGCAATGAAAACAGAAATTGCTGAACAATACAGAGAAAAGCTTCACTGGTCTGTGTTTTTTCATATTTTCAAATTCTTTTTTTTCTTTTCCTGAGATATAGATATACCCATTTCGTTGTTTCAGCATCTGTTATGTTATTTATGATGGGATCTATATCACATACCCTGATAAACTTTCTTATCGGTGATCAGTCTTAACTTTTTCCTTGTATTTTGCAAAAGATGTCATCACAAGCCTATCCATTAGAAAACTGGGCTTCTATTCCTGATGAGGATCAAAATTGACCACAAGGGTGTCACCTCGTCTCGGAGTGTCACCTTGGCTCAGTACCTCATCTCGGCACCTTGGCTACTAAGAAAGACTTGCAATCATAAGAGACATTGAGGCCCCAAGTGATCCCAGGGGTGTGAACTCCGACGGTTAAGTCAGTAATCACCAAGGGAAAATAAAGTGAGCTTGAAAGCTTTGTGAGTTGAGGTGAGAGTTTGTGTGGAGAGTTAGAGAGCTCATGAGGAGAGCTAGTGAGCTCCACGTGATGAGCTAGAGAGCTCATAGGGAGAGCTGGAGAATTCCACGTGATGAGCTAAAGAACTCGTAGGGAGAGTTGGAGAGCTCCATATGATGAGTCGAAGAACTCATAGGGAGCTTGAGAGCTCGTAGGGAGAGCTAAAGTGCTCCATGTGATGAGTTGAAGAACTTGTAGGGGGAGCTTGAGAGCTCCATGTGCCGAGGTGTCTGGCATGCCTTGTTCATAGTAGCATACTCCCATGTTTAGTTGTGTCCAAATGAATGGGGGACTCACCTATTTATAGGAGAGGGGCTTCATCCAAGAGCCGACACGTCTCTCACACGTGGTTGAAACTTAGTCCACTTGCCGTGCCCTTTGTTGACACATTGTGTGCACATGGTAGGTAGTGGGCTTGCATGAAGTGCGTTGGCACTAATGTTCTAATCAGCTCAGCCACGTGTTGATTGTGAATGTTATGAGTTGGTGTTAGATCAGCTCGTAGCTCGTTAGGACCATGTCAGCTCATAGCTCATCAGGACCAGGTCAGCTCGTTAATTGACAATCTTGCCCCCTAGCATGCTGCCACTTGGTGGTTTCTAACTGGTGGTTGGTTTTGGCCTTATTAATTCCCATGGCAGGTTTGTAGTTCCGGCTTAAATGGAGTCTATTAATCTTTTGTTAATTTGTCCCCCTTCTATACACCGGTCTACTTCCTTGGATTATGCCGATGGAACATAGTGTTCAAGAGCAAAGCTAGTCAGGCAAAACCCATAAATGACGCACAGATACAGATAGGAAAATGTACAAAGCAAAGAAAGGAATGAGGGAGATAAACAGCAAACGAAATATGTACAGGCAAAACTACAGAACAAAGAAAGGATGTGCTGCTTCTTCTCCACTCCCAAAAACTTGAATTTCCAGCAACGATGCCATTATAGATCGGCGTCTCCTCCGTCATCATCGACAATGTGGATCTTCTTCCACCACGGCTCTTTGTGACCTCTAGATTGTCGAAGAATGGTGCACGTCTGTCCATGAACATAAGCCCTACAGTGTGGAATGCAAGATGGAGGAGGAGGGCAAAATTTTCATTAGTTGGTTTTATTTTGAAATTTTGAGTAATGGAGGGGAATTTTGAGATTTTGTTTCTTTCCGTTAGAAATTGTCAACGATGTCAATTGTCAGAAATAATAGGGGTATTTTTAAGATAATACGTAAACAATAAAAATAGAGTTGGTCAACAAGCTAGACCATAAGGGTAGTTTAAGAAATTTACCTTTTTAAAAAAGCCTTCTTTGAAAGTTAAAAACGTTGAGATGATTGGAATTTTTTAAAAGGCAAAATCTATGATACCGGAACTATCATAGTCAAACCCTTTTAGAGAATGTGATTGATAGAAGAAAATGGATTTTAGGCCCTAGATTTACACCATTCCATAAGGGTTTCAAGAGACAGATTGGTTGGGTGAATGCTTGAGAATTAATTACTAGTTTCCACACTTTTCATACTTGTTATATGTCAATGTTTTCATAAATATTGTCACAAGGACTACTCTTTGGTGGTTGCTTTGCTTTGTGATGTC